TAACAGACAGGGCCCATGGTAACTAAAAGACTGATGCACTAAACCCGACTAAATGAGCACAACAGTAAGGACAAGTTCACACTACAATGCAGTGTGCCTGGAGCGATTCCCCACTTCAGCTGCTCTGCGTTGCTGGCTGCGCTAGGAGGCAGTGTGACGCACGATTCAGCGCATCGCATGGCTCCCTCTTTTTTTTTTCTTCTTTTTTTTTTGCAGGAGGTTTTTTTGAAGTGTACAATACATTCACTGCAATGCCTGGCAGCGCATTTTACTCCAGCACCCAGAGTGGGAAAGGATTAGACTCTCTGTCAAGTTTTTATTGTTTTCTCTGTCTCCATCAGAAAGTTGTGCGCAGAACAAGTAGTAAGGGATAATCTTCCAAGGAGGACACCTATTCAAGGGACAAGTGTTGATCCGCGTTTTTACTGCTTCCCAACCACCTGCACCTCTCAGGTCTGTTCACATTGCCGCAGCCACAATGCTTCACTTTATGGTGCAGCAAATGTAACTTGGAAGTCAGCATTGGGCAGATGGTGCCAATTGTCAAATGCCCAATGATGTCAAAGAGACTGCGCCACAATCATGTTGCAAACGTTATTTCAAAGTAAAAGGAGAGAGGGTCCCAAGAGGGGATTTCCTTCACTTTGGATGATTTCCTCTAACTCCCTGTTATCTCTGTGGCAGGAAGTGACGACATTTTACCCAATGATACAATGACAGCAAAAAAAAGAAATAAACAACCCTGGCTGGGGTTGTAACCCCTCCCTACTCTATTCAAATTCTAGTTTTGGCTATATAGCCAATTTAATTTATATTTTGCTGATGCTTAAGAATATTAATATTATTATACAGGATTTACATAGCGCCAACAACTTGTGCAGCGCTTTACAAAATTCGCTTCACAAGTTAGTGTTATGCTCATCTTTTTAGAGTAGCAGGAAGAGTTATTTAAATAATAGCCCCTAACTCCTATGTCATGGGTGGCATAGATGAGCAGACCATTGTACTCAATTTGTATTACTGGAACTTTTTGGCAACAAACCTTTGGAGCCTGAATCAGCACCTCTTTGCTACAATCACCTCTTTTGCATAAACCACTTTCTTGTTTTATTAGTCCTAATGTTGTGAAATTGTGTAAATAGGCTCATAGGAGCAGACTCTATTTCTACTGATGAGGGGAAAATGTTTGTGTCAAATAACTATCTAGGGAAAAGCCAAATCACCAAACATATCCAAACAGTTGAGCCAGGTTTGCAGGGATCCCCATGTGTAGATGGGTCAGGAAAAATGTAAATGAATGTTGACAAAGGCTGAAATAATTGTATTTATTAAAACTATTGTATATAATCTGGCTACCGTAAAGTGGAAATAAACCCTCCTATCCATTACAGCCAAGGAAGCTGCCACCTTAGTCTGATTGATCTGCAGTTGTCATGGTGCTGCACATGTGATCAGCTATGACACCATCCATTTGATGGCTTGACAGTTTGGTTGAGAGCACAAACAACTGTGACAGTTATCATTTATAGCATGCCTTAAATGTTGGCAGTTAAATCATAGGAATTACATAGTTAGGTGAAAAAAAGTCCACCACACCAAACAAATAAAAAAACCTCCACATTTCCCTCAGCCTGAAAGACAAACCCCCTAATAAAGTTGCTGTTGCACTTTCCTCTCCCTTCCGCAGCCGCAACTGGCTGACACAGGGGTTATCATGTGACTGGATTGTAGCAGACTGAATAAGTAAGTATGTAGAACTCTTTTTTACACAGATCTTAGTCAGAAGCATAAGATGAAATATATTTTCTGGGGACGTAAACAGGGTCCTCTGTAATGATGGGGGAACACATATGTATTTGTACAGGGAGCATTTTATTCTTCTCATCTAAAGATTACATTAGTTTTGGCTGTAATTCTAATTTCTTAAGGTCCCTGCTTGTAAGTTGGAGGTGCATCCTGTAGGGTTACTATATTTTGCAATACATGTATCTTGGTGTAACCTGCAAACATGCAAATGGTACTTTTTATTAGTATTGTACTGAAATTTATTTGTCAACATTCTGTTGCTGAAAATTCCTAAAAACTTCAGGATGCACTTGGCTGAAAAATTTCCGAAATGGACAGTTTTTTAAAAAGAGGAAGCATATATTTTTAGGGTGGTCACCACACCCAGGCATTTCCAGCCTGAATTGTGTGCACTTTCCTCCTCCCCTGCAGCCGAAGGCTGGGGGATCATGGGATGTTCCGGAAAGTTAGATAATGATGACTGGGGGAGATAGTTGGGACTTTTTAAGCCTTTTTGGCTGTAATTCTCTCTGGTCTCTCTAAGAGACTGTTTTGATTAACCTGCAGTTACTTTTAAGATTGTTGTACATCGGCTGAAACCTATTCAGGACACCATATAGGACTTTTTAAAAATGAGCTCCACACACTCCCCCGAATGTTAATGCATTGACTGGGATGATAGTTGGGACTTGCCTTTTCGCTCTCTGGTCTCTCTAAGAGCTTTTGATTCAGTTCAAGATTGTTCATGTGTTTTGGCATTGCTCACAAATGAGCTCCACACACTCCCCCGTTGTGGGGTCTCACCGGGAGCTTTCGATGTTTTTGGCATTGCTCTGCGTTGTCTGATTTTTGGAAGGAGGTAATATCATTGTGCAATAAGTTGACTTCGGCCCCCCTACAACCTACCATGTTGGTGTGTTTGTTAGGTCTGGTTAGTGATCTCCTGCCCGCTATAGCTGAACGTACTATGATTAGCCTACTGTTGTTCTATGCTAGAAAGGCCATAGCTCTGAATTGGGGAAAACCTACTTCTCCATCTATTATGTTATGGAAGCGGATTATTAATGTTAATTTACCCCTTTATAAGGATACTTACATGCACAGGACATGCCCTAAGAAATATGATAGAGTGTGGTCCAAATGGCTGGCTGAACCCTCCACTGCCTCTGACATGACAATGCCCTGAGTGATATTGCAATATTGTATTTTATGATGTTTTTTGTATTCCTCCTGATCTTGGGGACATAGTACATGCCATAATGTACACTAGGATGGGAAACTTTTTATCCACACATTTATTTCTTGGTTGGTGGTGATAGCCATGTGAACGTTTCGGAGAATCTTTGGATGCAGCCTTTTGTTTTCAATTTCTCAGGATGTATGATTGACCTTCTCCACCCCTTGCGAGGATAGGACATATGTGAACCTTTTTTATGTTTTTTTTTGTTTGTTTGTTTGTTGTGTGTATGTCCTTAATATGTTGAACAGTTAAATAAAAAGATTTAAAAAAAAAATGTATATATTTTTCAAACGCAATTTTTTTGGAAAAAAATACACTTTAATAATTAAAAAAAAACACAATATATACCCCATTTTTTTTTGTAAAATATTAAAGATGATGTTACGCCAAATAAATTGATACCCAACACGTCATGCTTTAAAATTGTGCACGCTCGTGGAATGGTGTCAAACTACAGTACTTAAAAATCTCCATGGGTCACGCTTTAAAAATTACTACAGGTTACCAGTGTAAAGTTACAGAGGCAGTCTAGTGCTAGAATTTTTGCTCTTGCTCTGACATTCGCGGTGATACCTCACATGGGTGGTTTGAACACTGTTTACATATGTGAGCGTGGCCTACGTATGTGTTCACCACTACACGTGAGCACGGGGGGGGGACTGGGGCACTTTAAACTTTTTATTTTAAATGTATTTAATTAAAAAAAATTACACTGTCCCTTTAAAAAACAAAATCACTTTTATTCCTATCACAAGAAATGCATGCATCCCTTCTGATAGAAATAAGTAGTATGCTCCTCTGTCCTGTCTTGGAGCTGTCATGTTCTTATCATATTGCATGTAAAGGATTCCAATAAAGGATTTCATCCACCACATTGCTGTTTGTGCGGCCAACCATTCTGTTTTTCCATTGCATTTGTGATCACAGATCGGGCCAGCACCTGTGTAACTGTGGAGGGGTTATACAGATTCGGCACTCACCTGGAGTGGATTGTTTGCTCTTTCAGATAGAAATAAGTAGTGACAGATCCTCTTTATGGAGAGATATGGGGTCAATAAGACCCCACATCTCTCCTCTACAATGTAAAGCATTAGATCAAAAACAGCATTGATCTAGTGGTTTAAAAAAAAATATCCTTGTTTAGAAGGCGCCGGAACCAGAAGTGACGTTGCTCCGATCCTACAAGGGCATAGAGATGAGTGGAGGCCATCTTTCCTTCACCTATCTCTATACCCAGCGGTGGGATTGTTTGGTGGTTTCTCAGGTAAGGCTGAGAACCACCGAGCGGCGGAGGGTGGTGGCGATCGGCAGAAGTGTTGGGCAGGTGACAGTGAGGGGCGTTGGCGGGCGGCAAGGAGCGGGGTTATTTTCGACACCTGTATCGGTGCTTATTTTCATATCGGCCAAAGGCCAATAGGGGTGTTTTCAGCTGAAACGTTTCGGCCACTGAAATTTCGGTGCATCCCTACGTTTAATCCCAAACTCTATATAATTTATACATAGGTTAAAAAGTAAGGGATGTTTAACACAACTTTAAGTGGAAGATTTACATAATGTTATGATAATAATACACATTTTGGTATTAACAAATGAAGATATTAAAAGTGAACCATTAAACTTTGTTAGGTGATCTGAACAAATGCTAGGAGTCTTGAATCTGCCTCTTGACAAGGCTGACCTCTGCATGATCTCTGTGTACTTTTTTAATAATCTAATCTACTCAGTACTCTTTATATGAGTGTCACTAACATCAAAACAATTATATAGTTGATTACCCTCTATCAGTAATTAGTGTATAAACATAAAGTCTGCCCCAAAAAAAATGGGTTTGGACTTTATGTCTATACACTAATTACTGTTAGAGGGTGATCAAGTTTACTATATATTGTTTTGAGTTTTGTACACAGGGGAAGGGCAACTTCAAAAAGGATAGTGCTATATGCTGAATACATATTTATAACACTGCCTTGTTCTGTTATGTGAGATTTGTGAGTTCACAAGGGCATAATATTCTTCTTGTTTATTCAGCAGTTGAGTGTGAGTGCCTTGTTCTACCACCTTCCCATTCTTTACCACTGCGATGACATCAGCATTCTGCACTGTGGTGAGTCGGTGAGCAATCACTATGCATGTTCGCCCTTGCCTGGCATCATCCAGCGCTTGCTTGTACAACCTGTTTACAATGAAATCAGATTTCATAATAGAGGATTAGATCACGATGATAATGCTGTACATTTGGGGAAATCCTACAGTGCAATTAAATTGGTGACATGTACATTCAAAACAGTAAAGTTTATAAGTGTGATGAAATTAAACATCTGCAGCATTTGAAATAGAGCTCCGGTTTTAATGTATATAACCTACAAGTATGTATATTTATTTTTAAACTCTTTTCCAGACCTATTAACCACTTGACCTCCAGAGGTTTTACCCCCTTCATGACTAGGGCATTTTTTGCTATTCTGCACTGTGCTACTGTGGCAATTGCTCATTCATGCAACACTGTACTCATATGAAATATATGTGATGTTTTTTCTAATTAAAAAGAGCTTTCTTTTTGTGGTATTTTATCATCACTGAGTTTTTTATTTTTTATTGTATAAACAAAAAATGACCAAAAATTTTGAAAAAAAACATTTCCACTTTCTATTATGATATAAATCATATCCAATAAAAAAAATAAATAAATAAATACAATTTCTTCATACATTTAGGTCAAAATATATTCTGTCTTTGATGAAAAAAAATTCCAATAAGTGTATACTAATTGGTTTGTGTGAAAGTTGTAGTGTCTAAAAACTATGGTATGTATATTCTAGAATTTATTCAGCTATAGACGCTATACTCATAATGGCGGTGATCAGCGACTTACAGTATATGTGACTGGGTGTGGTGGGCAATCTGGCATTAACAGGCATTGGCTGGGAAGGACACCAACTGACGTCACTAGTGTTACTGTCAGCTGCACTAATGATACTGGCTAAGAAGTGAGTAACATCAAGGAGGGGTTAACTGTGTGCCTAACAAATGTGTGTGATGCATTTACTCAGATCTGACTGTTTTTTTCCCCTGCTTTTCAGGGAGAAGAAACAGACAGATGGCTGTTCTGTGTTCAGAGTTCTGTGTGTTTATTAACACACAACTCTGTGCTATTATTGGACACTGCCGATCAGCCAGTTTCAGCCAAAATAATTGGCTAAAACCTGATGACACACTTGTTCTGCATCCAATCACAGCAAGGGTCAGTAGCAACAGATCGCACACATGTGCCTGAAATGCAGAAGAAAAACTGTGATGTACAGGTGTGTCCTCTAACCTGGCTATGCCACCCATAGTAAATGTACTGTGGGCAGGTGGCAAGCAGTTTAATTACTCCATAACTAAGATCAGTGTTCCAATCAAACTTAAAGCTGATCTCCAAGATAAGTTAATAATGTCTAAATACATGCGTGATGCATATTCTTTCTTGAATCTTAATGTGCTTTGTGTATTTCTTTGAGATCTGTGCAGTAATTGAATGTGAAACGTTACCTCTGTGGAGGAGCTTACTGTAATAAAGACCGGTCACTGCTTTCACTATGTGCAGGGTGACTAGACTTGTCTCTGCCCCCTCCTGTGGTTTTCTGCAGGCAGCCTGTAATGGGTGGAACTGATGGGATCTGTGTTAATCCTCCTTCAGGCCCTGTGAAATCCCTTTGGTCCAAGGCTCAAGCTGAACATTCTTTTGCCATCCTTGATATTGATATTAAAATAGAATTCCTGCAATTTATTTGCATAGCTGCATTGTTCCAGCCAGGGGCGGACTGACAACTCATGGGGCCCCCAGGCAATAGGGCATCATGGGGCCCCTGTGTCCTCACCCACACTCAAACCACACCCAAAAAAGCCTATGAAAGGTACCAGGGACATCTCATGGGGCCCCCTACTGACCCTGGGCCCTCGGGCATTGCCCGAGTTCCCCAATGGTCAGTCCGCCCCTGGTTCCAGCTTAGACCAATGTAAGTATATATGTACATGTGGATCTCCGGATCTCCATTTAAGCTGGAAGTCATGGCTTCTTCAGCGATCTTCACTAACTTCATTGCTTCTTATTAAGCACAGGAGGTCGCCCATTTGGCATGGGTGTATTTCAGTGCACACTTTGCATTTTCCCAATGAATGCAAAGTGTTCTATGATTGGAAGAGGTGGAGATTGTGACATCACCACCCTGCTCTCTCCACCATGTCCAATCAAAGTGGTGCCTGTGTCAAGCGAGCAACCTTCTTTGTTCACAATGCAGCAGAGCAGTCCGACTCGCATGGGTCGCTCGGCTAGTGATGATCGCTATAGTATAAGTGCCTACTACAATAATTTTCAGTTTCCACGTGGATCCCACAGGTATGGCGCACATACATGCTTACATTGGTCCAAGCTAGACCAATGTAACTATGTAAGGAATGCTATACCTAAACCTCTTTAAGCTCTGCCCCTCCTGTTGCTATGCTCCATTTCATCAGTCAGCTGGCAATTGCAGTGTCTCTACTCTCCACTGAGAATGTGGCATTTTGACAAAACTGTCACTCAAATGGTTGTTCCGTGTTACAAATGCAAAAAGAGCAATCACCCCAGTATGTGGCATCTATCTTTTATTACTTCTTATTCATCATCTCCAACAAGGTAATATTTGATTGGCCCACCCTTGTTCAATGTAAAAAGGATTACATACTTTTATTATAGGTCAGTTTAAAACTAAAAACATTGTTTAAGGACTATGAAAGATTCATTCTTTTAAATGTATGTACATCATTTGGAACATTTGCTACTGGGTCTTATTTGCTAATTTATGCATGCAGCATTAATTATATTTTTGCATGAAAAACTGTTAAACATAGAACTTTAATTATTACAGCACATTATCAATTACCTTTTCACTTTCAGTGTCAAGAGCAGAAGTGGCTTCATCCAGCAGTAAGATTTTAGGCTTGCGAACAAGAGCACGGGCAATGGCAATCCTCTGCTTTTGTCCACCTGAAAGCTGGGCTCCCTTATCGCCAACACGTGTGTTATACCCCTGTGTTTGTACGACAAGCACAAAAGTTTACTTATAAAATATAAATGGCAAAAGTTAATTTAACTAGGAAGAATTAAATGATTTACTTCTGGTAGGCTCTCAATGAAAGTGTGAATGTTGGCTGCTTTGGCTGCTTCTTCAACCTCCTCCTGGGGAAACAAGTCTACTATTGTCTCCATATTGGATATTCTCACGGATGGAGAAGTCAAAGAGGACTGGCTCCTGTAGCACTATACCAAGCTGAGACCTCAGCCACTTCAAATTAAGTGATTTAGTATCAGTTCCATCGACAACCTGAAACAAAGATATCTGGGTTATTGTGGAAGGCTAAACTATAGGAAAAGAGCAATGTATTGAATATTAAAGCATACCTAATATATCAGATGTATCATTAGGACATCAGGGGTAGTACCCCAAGTTTTAGTCTGCACATGTCCACATAACTGTATGCCAAAAGTTCTAGTGTGTTATACCAGGGCAGGGTGTAGTTTTTTAATTACAGAGGACAACGTATCCAAAGCTGTAATGGACTTTTCTCCAAAAACAACTGATGGCAAGATACCTGTCTATTCTGAAAAGGGCTGAAACCACTAAATACTAACCAGTGGTGCCTATGCACCAAATTACTTTCTTCTTTGGCCATTACACAGAGATTTTGCAAGTCTAGCCATAAATGGCTTGATCCTCATTTCACTGCCACTCTGGACCATAAAATCAAGGTTGGAATGGGCCATTTATGACCACTCTTTTCAATTTTGGATATATCTTTTTGTGGTGCTCAACACAGGTTGCTGACTAACTTTTATCAGAGGAGAAGTATAGCCAAAGCTGTTTTGTAGGTCACAGTTTGTTCTGCACTCCTGTGACCCATTTTCAGCCGGCTGTTGGCTTACGTCACTCCAGGCTCTGAAGAGATCCTGACCACAGAGTCAGAATCCACCCAGAAGCCTGGCCTGGCACCTGGCTCGGCCTCTTAGCGATCCACCAAGAGCATGAGCCATCTGCTTCTGCCCACTCCACAGCCCAGCGCTCCAGTGGGCACTAGAGGGGAAGAGCAGAGAGCTAGAGACTGAGAGTCATGGCTCTCTGCTCAGAGCAGAGGGAGAGAATTGAACTATCAGAGGTGTTTAATCACTTAGTTCTTACTATAGCCAGTGGGGGACAAATGCAGCATCAAATCGATGCTGCATCCACCTAGGTTAGTATAAATGTTTTTTTTTAAGTCCATACTTTTCTTTTAAGATCACAGTCAAAATTTGGGTTGAGGATTGCCTTTTCTAAATCATTATACTTGATAAGCTACTAAAACTTTAAATACTCCTTTTACAATGAAGTCAGGGTTTAGCTTTACTAGTTGTTTTAATAAGAAAATGAAGGAATATGATTGTTTAAGTGATTTATTAAAGCTATGAACATTATTATTAGAGATGAGCGAATCGAACATGACGAAGTGGAATTCGTTTCGAAGATTTGGAAAAATTCGATTCGCGACGAATCCGAAGATTAGCAAACTTCGGATGCACGAATCGAATTTTCCCAAAAATGGCGGTGGTGACATGTGTAGCGACAGGAGAAAATGGACAGAGAAGATAGGGCGGGGATCTCTGGGAAGGCGCGCAGACAAGGCGCGCTGACCCATAATGCATTCATGAGTCATGAATCATGACATGTGATCGCATTAGCCAATCAGCAGCCAGCCAGCCAGCACTGTGTAATGGTGGAGCTATAAATCGCGGCCATCTTCGAATTCTCCATTAGCCTCCGGTCATTCAAGAGAGACAGACCTCTGTGTATTGAGGGACAGAGTTAGGGCCACAGAAACTTTAGGGCCACAGAATCGTTACTCAGGGACACAGAATTGTTACTCAGGGACACAGAATTGTTACTCAGGGACACAGAACTATTACTCAGGGACACAGAATCGTTACTCAGGGACACAGAATCGTTACTCAGGGACACAGAATCGTTAGTCAGGGACACAGAATCGTTACTCAGGGACACAGAATCGTTACTCAGGGACACAGAATTGTTACTCAGGGACACAGAATCGTTACTCAGAGACACAGAATCGTTACTCAGGGACACAGAATCGTTACTCAGGGACACAGAATCGTTACTCAGGGACACAGAATCGTTACTCAGGGACACAGAATCGTTACTTATTGTACGTTCAAAGAGTTAAATCCATTTAGACGCCGGCTGGCGGTAATATTTTTTGGGTGATTAGTGCATTCCAGTGACACAAACGTACAGTTTCCAGCCAACGGCAAGCTGCAATTGACGGATTGTGTACAATAAACTGACTTTCTGCTTCGCAACCACTATTGTACGTTCAAAGAGTTAGATCCATTTACACGCCGGGTGGCGGTAATATTTTTTGGGTGATTAGTGAATTCCCGTGACATAAACGTACAGTTTCCAGCCAACGGCAAGCTGCAATTGACCGATTGTGCAAAATAAATTGACTTTCTGATTCACAACCAATATTGTATGTTCAAAGAGTTAAATCCATTTACACGCGGGTGGCGGGTAATATTTTTTGGGTGATTAGTGCATTCCAGTGACAGAAACGTACAGTTTCCAGCCAACGGCAAGCTGCAATTGACCGATTGTGCTAAATAAACTGACTTTCTGCTTCACAACCACTATTGTACGTTCAAAGAGTTAAATTCATTTAGACGCCGGCTGGCGGTAATATTTTTTGGGTGATTAGTGCATTCCAGTGACACAAACGTACAGTTTCCAGCCAACGGCAAGCTGCAATTGACCGATTGTGTACAATAAACTGACTTTCTGCTTCACAACCACTATTGTACGTTCAAAGAGTTAGATCCATTTACACGCCAGGTGGCGGTAATATTTTTTGGGTGATTAGTGCATTCCAGTGACATAAACGTACAGTTTCCAGCCAACGGCAAGCTGCAATTGACCGATTGTGCTAAATAAACTGACTTTCTGCTTCACAACCACTATTGTACGTTCAAAGAGTTAAATCCATTACACGCCGGGTGGCGGTAATATTTTTTGGGTGATTAGTGCATTCCAGTGACATAAACGTACAGTTTCCAGCCAACGGCAAGCTGCAATTGACCGATTGTGCTAAATAAACTGACTTTCTGCTTCACAGCCACTATTGTACGTTCAAAGAGTTAGATCCATTTACACGCCGGGTGGCGGTAATATTTTTTGGGTGATTAGTGCATTCCAGTGACACAAACGTACAGTTTCCAGCCAACGGCAAGCTGCAATTGACCGATTGTGTGCAATAAACTGACTTTCTGCTTCACAACCACTATTGTACGTTCAAAGAGTTAGATCCATTTACACGCCGGGGTGGCGGTAATATTTTTTGGGTGATTAGTGCATTCCAGTGACATAAACGTACAGTTTCCAGCCAACGGCAAGCTGCAATTGACCGATTGTGCTAAATAAACTGACTTTCTGCTTCACAACCACTATTGTACGTTCAAAGAGTTAAATCCATATTACACGCCGGGTGGCGGTAATATTTTTTGGGTGATTAGTGCATTCCAGTGACATAAACGTACAGTTTCCAGCCAACGGCAAGCTGCAATTGACCGATTGTGCTAAATAAACTGACTTTCTGCTTCACAACCACTATTGTACGTTCAAAGAGTTAGATCCATTTACACGCCGGGGTGGCGGTAATATTTTTTGGGTGATTAGTGCATTCCAGTGACACAAACGTACAGTTTCCAGCCAACGGCAAGCTGCAATTGACCGATTGTGCTAAATAAACTGACTTTCTGCTTCACAACCACTATTGTGTACGTTCAAAGAGTTAGATCCATTTACACGCCGGGTGGCGGGGCGGTAATATTTTTTGGGTGATTAGTGCATTCCAGTGACATAAAACGTACAGTTTCCAGCCAACGGCAAGCTGCAATTGACCGATTGTGCTAAATAAACTGACTTTCTGCTTCACAACCACTATTGTACGTTCAAAGAGTTAAATCCATTTACACGCCGGGTGGCGGTAATATTTTTTGGGTGATTAGTGCATTCCAGTGACATAAACGTACAGTTTCCAGCCAACGGCAAGCTGCAATTGACCGATTGTGCTAAATAAACTGACTTTCTGCTTCACAACCACTATTGTACGTTCAAAGAGTTAGATCCATTTACACGCCGGGTGGCGGTAATATTTTTTGGGTGATTAGTGCATTCCAGTGACATAAACGTACAGTTTCCAGCCAACGGCAAGCTGCAATTGACCGATTGTGCTAAATAAACTGACTTTCTGCTTCACAACCACTATTGTACGTTCAAAGAGTTAAATCCATTTACACGCCGGGTGGCGGTAATATTTTTTGGGTGATTAGTGCATTCCAGTGACACAAACGTACAGTTTCCAGCCAACGGCAAGCTGCAATTGACCGATTGTGTACAATAAACTGACTTTCTGCTTCACAACCACTATTGTACGTTCAAAGAGTTAGATCCATTTACACGCCGGGTGGCGGTAATATTTTTTGGGTGATTAGTGCATTCCAGTGACATAAACGTACAGTTTTACAGCCACGGCAAGCTGCAATTGACCGATTGTGCTAAATAAACTGACTTTCTGCTTCACAACCACTATTGTACGTTCAAAGAGTTAAATCCATTACACGCCGGGTGGCGGTAATATTTTTTGGGTGATTAGTGCATTCCAGTGACAGAAACGTACAGTTTCCAGCCAACGGCAAGCTGCAATTGACCGATTGTGCTAAATAAAACTGACTTTCTGCTTCACAACCACTATTGTACGTTCAAAGAGTTAAATCCATATACACGCCGGGTGGCTGGTAATATTTTTTGGGTGATTAGTGCATTCCAGTGACATAAACGTACAGTTTCCAGCCAATGGCAAGCTGCAATTGACCGATTGTGCTAAATAAACTGACTTTCTGCTTCACAACCACTATTGTACGTTCAAAGAGTTAGATCCATTTACACGCCGGGTGGCGGTAATATTTTTTGGGTGGGTGATTAGTGCATTCCAGTGACATAAACGTACAGTTTCCAGCCAACGGCAAGCTGCAATTGACCGATTGTGCTAAATAAACTGACTTTCTGCTTCACAACCACTATTGTACGTTCAAAGAGTTAAATCCGGTTTTATTTTTGGGGTGCTTATTGAATTAAAGAGTATGTCAGACAACACGCAGAGGAGTGGCAGAGGAGGCAATGTTTCAGGAGCGAGCAGACGTGGCAGCAGAGGAAGGGGTCGAGGCAGCACTAGTTGCAGCCAGAGGCCAGTGCTCCCGGTGTCATCCAGCGGTCGTGTCTCC